CTTGAAAAGGCAGCGGAGGGGGGGGGGGGGGGGGCGAGAAATGCCATGCAAGTACAGTCGGACCGAGGTATGAGATCGAGGTCGGTTCGGGGACGGCACCCTAGTGTTATTCGTGTTTGTTGGATGTTCTTGTGCATCATTGGGAGGGTACCCTTTGACGTCATGTTTGTCTTAGCCGACGGACGGGCTCATGTTCTTGAAGGATGTTCTTCTGGCCCAGGTCCGACTATACACGCTCCAGCCGAGACGACGGGGTCTTTCCCTCGCGGAAGCGAAAATATGGACTGGGGCGCGTGGATTAGCCACGGGTCCCGCCCTCCTCCTCCTCCCTCTCTCCTCCTCCTCCCCCTCCTCCCCCTCCTCCTCCTCCTCCTCCTCCTCCCTCCTCCTCCTCCTCCTCCTCCTCCTCCTCCTCCTCCTCCCCCTCCTCCTCCTCCTCCTCCTCCCCGTCCTCCTCCTCCTCCTCCTCCTCCTCCTCCTCCTCCTCCTCCTCCTTCCCTCCTTCCCTCCTCCTCCTCCTCCTCCTCCTCCTCCTCCTCCTCCTCCTCCACCCCTTCCTCCTCCTCCTCCTCCTCCTCCCTCCTCCTCCCCCCTTCCCTCCTCCTCCTCCTCCTCCTCCTCCTCCTCCTCTCCTCCTCCTCCTCCTCCTCCTCCTCCTCCTCTGCCTCCTCCTCCTCCTTCTTCTCCTCCCTCCTTTTCCTTCTCCTTCCTCCCCGTCCCTCTCCTCCTCCTCCTCTTGTCATTCTCTTTATAGATAACTCCTCCCTGTCGCACCCCGAGGCAAGTTTTTCGGGCGGGCCGTGCGTTTCGCTTCAGACGCCCTCGCCACGCGTGACTCTGAAGCTTAAACAGTGTGAGAAGCTTCACACATGGAGGGCCGGTCGTTTTCAAAATATGGCTTCGCCTTAGCGCCGCGCACACTCGCTGCAACCATTTGCAAGAGTTTCACGGATTGGGGGCGGGTCGTTTTCAAAATGTGGCTTCGCCTCAGCGCCGCGCACATCCGCGCTAAAAATGCAAGAGCTTCACGGACTGAGGGCGGGCCGTTTTCAAAATGTGGTTCTCGCCATTGCGCCGCGCACATTCGTTCTAAACATTTGCCAGAGCTTCATGGATTGAGGACGGGTGGTTTTCCAAATGTGGCTCTCGCTTTATCGCCGCGCACATTCGTTCTAAACATTTGCAAGAGCTTCACGGATCGAGGGCGGCTCGTTTTCAAAATGTGGTTCTCCTTTTCGCGCCGCGCACATTCATGTTCACAAGCCGCAAGGGCTTCACGGATTCCCATGATCAGCGTGCCAGAAATGATGTGTTGGAAGGGTTCAGGATCTTGCGGGTGCAACAGTTATGTTGCTTCGCGGTGTTGAAGTCCCACAAGTGACGCTTTGGCACGGTTCCAGATCGTCAAGACGCAGCAGTCAGGTTGATACCTGGCGTTAAAATCCCGAGAAAAAAAGGTTTTGGTATGTTTCAGGATCTTCAAATGGTTGTCTTCCAACGAGGCAGCTCCCTCAATGGAAATGAACCGTTGTGGGGGCCTTTGAAGAGGGAACTTGGAGGGAGGGTGAATTCCAACATCGTTGGTGACTCTTGGTTTTACACTGGTCCGCCTCCTCCTCCTCTTCCTCCTCCTCCTCCTCCTCCTCCTCCTCCTCCTCCGCGCCGCATCCTGGTTACGCACCCAGGCGTCCTGCCCCCCAGTCTCGGGCCTCCTGGGGCCCGCGCAGATGTAGCCGGCGCGAGAGGTGCCGCAGAACGATTGGGTCTGGGCTCGGGTCGTGATTTACCAGCCTGGAACATATCCCTATCCCTATGCTGGGCACCTCCTCGTCACGATGCCAATCTTAGGGGGTCCCTTATTTTTTGAGGGCGAATCCGAAAGTGCGCCAGTGGATCTCCCCTGAATACACTAAAGGGGGGGGGGTCCAGAACCCCCCCCCTCCCCCCCCTTCAAGCGCCAGGTCTCGGGGGGGGGGGGGGGGGGGGCCACTGCCGCGCCCCAGGGCGGCGGCGAGCGCTGCAAGCAGCACGGCGTGTGCGGCCACGGCGAGGGCGAGACCTCCAGGAGAGCGCCGAGGGTCGGGCGGCAGAGGGGGGGGGGGAGGCGGCAGCGCTCGGCGGCGCGCAGGCTCGGGCCATGCGCCCAGGCGTCCTCGCGTCGTCGTTTTGCTTATGTATATACATATATATACACATGTATACATATATATATATATATATATATATATTTATATATATATAAGAAATGTTTCTGAAATTACAAAAGTAGTTTAACGTCGTTTTTCCGTGGGTATATATATATATATATATATATATATCTCAGAAACGTTCTTCACATAAAGAAGTACTGGACTGGCTAATTCTACTGGGCAACGGCCAAGTCGCGATGATCGCCGCACGTTCCGCCGCACGGCACCCTGCCAGAGGGGTGGCACCGACCTGGAGCCGATTGGGGGTCTGACGGGCAGGTCTGAGGCTCTGGGCTCGGGAAGCTTGCTTGCTTGCTTCGGCCTCCGGGGGCCGTGTTCGGGCGGCCCGAGCACATTTGAGCGGACGTGGCTCCGTCCCGCCCTCCTGGCCGATCTCTGCGGGTCCCGGGCAACAGAGGGCGTCTGCCGGCGGGGAGGGAGACGGGGGGCGGTAACGTCACGTTTTGCGTCGGCGCCGTCTGGGAATGTCTAGGAACAGCCCAAGCCAGCTGGGAGGTCAGCACGAATCGTGAAGTGTCACCCGGGGGTGGCGGAAGGGGGCGGCCAGGGCCGGGAACGGCCGTTAGTTATCGCAGGGCAAAACAGGCACGCTCTCCTGGGGAGCCGATGGGTCAGGCAGTGGCGGAGCGTCCTGACCCGCCGATGGTCCCAACGAGGGGTAGTCTGAGAACCTTTCTAACACACCGGGCTCATGTTCCAAGAGCACTGCTGCCGTTATTCGAACGTGGGCTTGCCATAAGAATGTGTCGTGGTAGGCCTACAGGAGTTCCTGGAGTGGTCGGTCCCCGCTCAAACGGGGGCACCAGCGATCCGACCACCCTGTCGGTGACGAGGAGGTTGAGCGAACAGGCTAGACCTTGAAGTGGCCGATCGCGAAGCGAGTCGAATGAAGGAATCGCTGAGCTTCTGCCGCCGCCAGGAGGCGGGGCGGATACAGCAACCACCCTGGACAAGAAACACCCCGATGGCAGCGTAGGTGCAGAGGCGAGTCGAGGGGGAGTGGCCCGCTCCGTCGTGGAGACCGCTGAGCAGCGGCCCGCGACCTGTGGAGCCGAGGGGGGGCACCGGCCATGCGACCACCCCGTGGGTGAGAGCGAGGCGGGGCGCACAGGGAAAGTCTGCTCGCGCAGCTCTCGGACGTTCCCGTCGGCCTTCGCACGGCCTCGTCGGCTCCTGGAGGCCACCCCCCCGTGATGCCTGCCTTCCAGCAGCGCTGCGCCTCGCCGAGAGCGCGTTCTCCCGGGGTGCCCGCCTCGGCCCGCACGGCCGCCGGAGGCCGGAGTTGTTTGGGGACCCGACCGCCGGACAGGCTCGCGTGGAAAGAAAAAAAAAAAAAACGCGACGCGAGGTGGTTGGCCGCCTTTCGGCCCTGGGCCTTCGCTGGGCCCCAGGGCCTTCAAGAGCCGGCTCGGGATGGAGGAGAGGAGGAGGAGGAGGAGGAGGAGGAGGAGGAGGAGGAGGAGGAGGAAAAGGAGGAAAAGGAGGAGGAGGAGCCGGCCCTGCATGGGGAAAGAGTCCGGATGTCGGGGGACCACGCACTGAGAAAACGTACCCCAGCAAAGCACCCTGATTACTAGCAGCAGAGGCGAAGAGGCGGGTCGAGGAGTAGGAGGAAGTCGGCTACAGGGGACAGGAGAGAGAGCACGGCCAGTTTGCAGTGTGTCTGTCATCTGGGATCGCGGTTGTCCGGACCAACAATGGCGCCAGCAGTGAGGCGACAGCAAGATTTTTGAATAAGTTGTACGGGAGTCTCGGGCGGCACGGTTGCCAGACCGTTGCCGGAGCAGGCGGTCTCGGTCTCATGCCCGCTTTTTCGGTGGGATTATCATGCGGCTTCGCTTTGCCACTATTTGGAAACTCTTCGCGAGACGCTATGAGGGAAACATCTTGAGGTCAGGTGGCCGATCGCGAAACGAGTTTGAACGAAAGAGATACTGAGCTTCAGCCGACGTCTCAGCCTTGCCAATGACCGTTGGCCATGGACGACGTGGTAGTCGGTCGATCGATTCCTTTCTAGTCCCCCAGTCTCGTGTTCGTCAGCGGGGTTTGACACTGCCTACGCAGTTGAAGCTGACTATAGCACCAGCAGGACACGCAGAACCACAGGATCAAACTCGTGAGACATTCTGCGATGGCGTTCGTACACCACCCCACCCCAGTGAGATACAGGTTCCGTCCCTGAGGCACCGAGGGATGAGGAAGTTTTTGGCCGTACGCGTGTAGGAGGAGTTTGGCACACAGGTTTATACACACAAGTTGGTAGAGTTCAATCTCGCCAATTTGGGTGAGGACCCCATCATTTGCACAGATCCTTTGGGGGGAGGCCTCGTTTCAGCCTCTGTTTGCCCCTCGCGCTGGTAGTTGGTGAGTTGAGCTACGCCTTTGACCTCGGCATCGCAGGGCTCGAAGAGGAGCCTCGGAGTCCACTGGGACAGGCAGCCGCACTTGCCACAGAAGCCGAAAGAGCTTTGAACTCAATAGCCATGGGTATCGTGCACCTGCCTGCCCGCCAAGAGAAAAGGACGCTACGCTCGGGAGTAGCAGCGGGAGGCAGAAGGAGTGATGGCGGAGGGTAACGCAGGCCAGGAAGAGGAGGATGAGGAAGAGTGGGATGAGAGGGAGGGGAGTGGGGAGGGAGGAGGAGGGAGGCGGAGAAGGGGAATGCGGGAGGCAGTTTGGGGAGGAGGGGGGTAGGAAGGATAATCGGGAGAAGGGGGGGGAGGAGGAAGGGCATGGAGAAAGAAGAGGAGGGTACACCCAAGCAGCGACGATTTTTTCTTATTCGCCGCCTTGGCTCAAGTGTCATGGTGGCCAGGTTCTCTATATGAGTTATGACTCTAACTTCAAGGTCCGCTACTGTGTTTCTGCTTACGTATGTCTGCGGGTTGACAGTTCGGTCAGCCGTCGCGGTATCTCTTGCACTCCATGTTTCTGAATCGTCAGTGTCTTATGAGAGCAAGACGGACCGCATCGACGAGCAAAACACGAGCGCGCAGCACATCATCGTGGACACGTTGCGACACTTGGCCGAGGAGTACGACCACCAAGGCGACCGCAGCCGCGGCAGGGTGAGCGCGTGGGTGTGCATCACCATCGTGGCCTCGATCTCCGCGCTGGCCGTGCGCTGGTACTGCTGCACGACGGCTCCGTGCGGCGTGGAGCAGCTGTCTCTCACCGCCCGGTGGAAGGCGACAGGAAGCCCGGCTCGGCCTTCGGCGCGCCCCAAACATCGGGTGTTGCTAGAAGTGCCCCTGGCCCAAGGTACCCCTAGGGCCTTAGGGATTCCCGGGGTGGCCCAGACGGCCTCCAGGGCACCCCTCGCGAGGCCCAGAGGGCCCCAGGGGCTCCAAAGGGGAGCGAAAGCCGGGGGGCACCTTGGGCCAGGGGCACTCATAGCAACACCCGAAGCAGAGCTCGGGCCCGAGCGCGGACGCCCCCAGCGTCACCAACGACCGCCTCGTCACGCGAGGCTCTCGGAGGGGGGGGGGGGCCCGCCGAGACAGCGTCGGCTCATCCCGCCCTGCCGGAGCGACGGGGCCCCGGGACACACAAGCAGATAGGCACAAGTCCCGGGATTCCTCATGTTTTCCCATAGTGTCTGGATTTTCGTCTCCCCTCCCACTTCCCACGTTTTCCCATATTTTCCGGGGGATCGACGATTCATTGTGTCTGTGTTTGTTTTTGTTCCTCCTCCTGACAAGGTCCGCTCGAAGTCTGCCCCGCCGATCCCTCCCGGGCCCCATCTTGACCCGCTTTTTGCCACGAGGCTCCAGCTGGGGCGACGAGAAGCCTCTCCAGGAGGCCCAAGAAGAACGAAACATGCCGGGGATGGAACATGAAATAACTAGATGGGGAGTTCCAAGGACGGAGTTGTCATCTCTTCCGCCGTGGAAGGCGGCGGAAGGGCGGCGGAAGGTCGGCGGAAGTAAAACGAGGCCGCCTCCGCCGTCGGAAGCTGGCAGAAGCTCGGCGGAAGGCGGCGGAAGAAAAAGATGCGCCCCCGGGGTATGAAAGCGTTTTTGGGTTCAGGGTTTCCGAGATCGCCCACAGAAGCATCAATTGTCGGAGGCCCGGGCGGATTTCTCGGATGGGGCAACCTCAGGAACTGACAAGAAGGCCCCAAGACCCATCCAGAGAAGACATCCGGCGTACTGATGTTTCGATACGCTGTGCCTCGAGGCCCCCAGGCTGGCTTCTCATCTCCCGAGTCGTTGCTTGACGACCCTTGGGCCTGGCCAGGGCCCTCCGAGGCCGAAAATTGCCAACAACCCTGCCTGGCTTTTGCTGCTCCTCCTCCTCCTCCTCCTCCTCCTCCTCCTCCTCCTCCTCCTCCTCCTCCTCCTCCTCCTCCTCCTCCTCCTCCTCCTCCTCCTTTTGCTCGCGACCTTTCTGCCGAAAATCGCCAACTTTCTGCCCGACTTCTGCTGCCGAAAACTGCCAACTTTCTGCCTGGCTTCCGCTCGCGACCCGAGCACGTTTGGTCTTCGGGAGACTCGGCTCTCCGGCCCTCCGGAGCGACCCGGGCGCCCCCCGCGGGACGCCCCCTCGGCGCGGCGCAGCTGCTGGAGCGCGTCCCAAAGCAGGGAAGAGGAGGAGGAGGGGGAGGAGGAGGAGGAGGAGGAGGAGGAGAGGAGGAGGGGAGGAGGAGGAGGAGGAGGGGAGGAGGAGGAGGAGGAGGAGGAGGAGGGGGAGGAGGGGGAGGAGGAGGAGGAGGAGGAGGAGGAGGAGGAGGGGAGGAGGGGGAGGAGGAGGAGGAGGAGGAGGGGGAGGAGGAGGAGGAGCAGGAGGAGGAGGAGGGAGGAGGAGGAGGGGGAGGAGGAGGGAGGAGGGGGAGCAGGAGGGGGAGGAGGAGGAGGCGCGCACACGCCCCGCCTATGCCCTCTCCTCCCCCGCCGCCGAAGCCCCGGCACCTCGAGAATTCGAGCTCGAGGAGCCGACGATGTCCCGGCCGAAGCCGACGACCCCCCCGGGCGCGGTCTCGATGCGCCCCTCCGCCGGCCAGGCGCGGGGCACGACCCCGGCGGCCACGACCTCCTCGCGCCCGGCGCGCGCGCGGCCCACAGCGCGGGGGGCACGGCCCCGGAGCAGCCGGGGAGGGCCGGGGGCGGCGGCGCCGCGTGCGAGGCGAGGTGAGGGGCGCGGGCGCGAGCGGAAGCGGCGCCGCCCAGAATTCGGGGGGGAGGGGCAAAACGACGCGAAGATCGGGACAAAATCGGATCGGGATAATTCGAAATCTCTGAGAATCGGCGGGTTTGGAGGATGTATTGGGCGCCGCGGCCGCTCCAGAGCGTTCCGGAACGCTCTGAGAGCGCTCCGGAACGCTCTGGAGCGATTTATCCCGATCCTAGCCTTGTTGTAAGGGGGTCCGTTTCGAGCCGATCGATCCGGTGCGACCTCGGTGTCGGCCACGGCGGCCCGCGGTCTCGAGCCAGGTATCGGTCCCGATGCTCCTGCGATCCGCTCCGGCCCGAGCACGAGTTGAGGCACTGCCTTTCGGGCCGGACGAAAGGGGGGGATTGGGAAAGGGGGGGTTACGAAATTTGCTGCATGCAGCTGGTTTCGGCCCCACCGAGGGGGGGCCCATTCCTCGATACATGGGCGCCTCCGGCGCCGGGAGGCGCCGGGAAAATCAGCTACGTGAGTTGATTCTCAACCCCCCCCCTTTGCTATCCCCTCCTTTCGCCCGGCCCGAGCCTTGGGCGAGGAGTTTCGGGTTCGAGCTTCGAGGTTTCGACATGGTCGTCGGCCGTCCGCGGGTCTCCAGCCTCGCGGGGTCCCTTCCAGCGGCGGCGCCTCGCCGAGAGCGTTTTCCGGGGGCGCCCGGACCGCCCGGGACGGACAGCAGCAGGAGGGAAAGAAACACACAGGCACAATTCATCCTCGATTCCCAAGAAAATATGGGGAAATATGGGAAGTGGGGGGGAAGACAGAAACCCAGAAAATATTGGGAAATATGGGGAATCTTTTTATTGAATCGCTTCGCTCATTCCGCCGGCCCGTGATATGGCATCGCTGGTTTTTGTCTGTGTGTTCGTTGCCCATGTTGCGCTCTTGGGGGCGGGTGTCGTTCGGACGCGTTGCGTGGGGAGTTTTGATGGTGAAGCAGTTCCCTGGGGGTCGTCTCTCGATGGGGCGAAATAGAGTCGTCGTCAAGATGCTTCTTTGGGGGGCCTCTTGGGGTCTGTTGAGAGGCCGTTCGGGGGCGCCTGGGAGACATGTTTGAAGCCTTCTGGGGCTTCTTTTGGGCCTCCTGGGAGTCTCCTGGGGCCTCTTGGCGACATCTTGGGGCCTCTTGGAGGCCTCTTGGGGCCTCTTTGGGACCTCCTGGGCGCCTTCTGGGACGGAGGGCTCCATTTTTGAGTTCTCGGTATCCCTCCTGAGTCCCTCTTGGGCCCGTCTTGGGGCCTCTTGGTCCGTCTTGGGCGGCACTTGGGCCGTCTTGAGGGCTCTCTTGGGTCGTTTCGGCGCCGTCTTGGGAGCTTCGTGGGCCGTCTTGGAGCGGTCTTGGGGGCCTCTTGGGCCGTCTTGGAGCGTCCGGAAGCCGAAAAAGCCAGAACACAAAAAACATCGAAAAAAAACAATGAAAATCAACGATTTTGGCCTCTTGGGGCTCTCTTCGGAGGCCTCTTGGAAGGCTCTTGGGGCGTCTTGGAGGCCTCTTGGGCTGTCTTGGGGGCCTTTTGGGCCGTCTTGGGGTCATCTTCGGCGTCTTCGAGCGCTCTTTGGGCGTCTCGGGGGCCTCTTGGGCAGTCTTGGGGGCCTCTTGGGGCACTCTGAGCGCGCTCTGGGGAGCCTGAGAGGCCGCACCCAGAAGGAAAACCATCTCTGAGTAGACTTGGTCGGGCGGTTGGTCGGGGTACTTTTCGCCGGGGGACCCCCAGGGGCCGCCCCGCGCGCGCGAACTAGAAATACTGTTAATACTGTTAACCAGTTACCGGAGATCTCAGCACGCCCTGGCCCGTTGGGCCGGCGAATTTGTGTGTGTTTATTTGTGTGTCCTGGGGCCCCTTCACAGCAGCCAGAGACCCGAATCAAGACCCGAAAATTTCAGGGGCAACGTTCGAGGGGGATGGGCTCAGGGGGGAGATCCATCGACCCCCCATGCGCACGCATCGCCGATGGATAGCCCGATAGCCCATCCCGCCCAGGACCGTGAGGATTCGCTGTCGGGGGCCTGTCGCCGATGTGTCGGCGATGCATCACCGATTCCATGTCGATGTTTCCCCCCTGAGCTGATCCCCCCAACATTCCCCCGTCACCCAGACGCCCGCGCGTCGTGGAGAGCTTCTGTCGAAGAAGGAACGCCGCATAGACGCCAACTGTCGGAGCTCTGCGCGGATTTCTTCGATCTGCGCTGGACCCCGGGAAGCCACTCAGGCTTCCCGGGATGGCTGGCTTCCCTCGGCGCGGGTCTCGGGTCTTGGCCGCTGCGCGGGAACCTGACAGGCCCACTTTCCACCGCCGCTACCAGATGCAGGAGAGGGAGGAGGAGGAGGAGGAGGAGGAGGAGGAGGAGGAGGAGGAGGAGGGGGAGGAGGGGGAGGGGGAGCCACTTTGAGAAGGAAAACGCGAGGCCGAGTCAACGGCGGCCCTCTCCTTCGCAGACCGGCGGCGAGCGAGGGGGGGACGTGAGAAGGAAAAGGCCTCCTCAGAAGGTTCGGGGGTGGACAGAACCCCCAACAGTGACACGTCGATTAGTGAATTGTCCGTTTTCGGTTCTCGAGAGGGCGCCGTGGCCGTCCTTTTCCAGGCTCGCGCCCGCCAGGTTTGGGCCTCAGGTCGTTTTCACTAAACCACGTTCTGCTAAAGGGGGGTCTGTCCATCCCCGAAAGGTGCGGAAGCCCCCCGGCCTTCTGAGAAGTCTTCTGAGCCGTCCCCAAGGACGCAGACAAAAATCTGTCAGAAGGCCCGAGGCCTTCTGAGAAGTCCCGCCGCCTTCTGAGAAGGCCTTCTCCTTCTCACCTCCCCCCCCCTCGCTCGCCGCCGAGTAGAGGGACAAACGAAAACTGCATCAGCACAAGCGTCCGGAGGTCCCGCGCAGATCTTCCTGGGATCGGAGCTGGCCCCCCCGTGACGGCGCCTCCGGTGCTGCCCTGATCAGGCGCGCGCCGCGCGCCTCGGGGGGAAATCCGCGGAGATTCTGCGCGGGCCTCCGCGGAAATCCGCGGAAATTTGCACGCCTCGCTTTCAAACGTCACTCGTGTCTGGGCCTGCTGGCGGGCGCCGCAGCAGATATCGGGTCGGAGCCTCGCGCCCCTATCGCCGATGCATCGCCGATCGCGGCTCGATGCGGAGCCCGATTTCCTTCGCGCCGACGTCGCCGAGGCATCGCCGACGTCGACGATGCATCGCCGGTGCGTCCCCGGGGCATCGCCGGTGCGACGCGATCCTCCGCGGCCTCATCTGCTCCGACCCCCCTTCTGGGAGGCCTCTATAATCAGCATGTCAGGAGAGGTGTGGGGGGGGGGACAAGCGCCGGTCTCTCCTGCAGGTGCCCTCGCCGGGCCCCTGGGCCGCAAGAGAGGGGCACGGGAGCCGGGAGGCGGTGGGTAAAAAAAGCACACTGTGGGTAAAAAACACACACTGTCTGTGGGTAAAAAGCATACAGTGTGTAATTAGCCTGGCGAAGAACCCAACCATGTGCAGTTGTCAGTACCGCAGCTGCGGGTTTCATCTGCAGTGGAACTCCCCATAGGACCACGGAGCGTGTGAGGGGTGTTCCGAGATGGGTGCCACTGGGGCATTCGGTGAAGCTCCCGATGGGGACATGAAACACGCGCGGGGCGTGCCGATATGAGTGGCGGAAACGCATGTGAGGGCCGCCACTGGGGCCTCCAGTGGAGCTCCCTGTGGGTCCCCGAAACATGATGCTGCTGCGGGGGGGGGGCCGGGATGGGTGGCAGAGACGCATGTACGCGCCGCTACTGGGACCTTCGGTGGAGCTCCCTATGAGGCACGAAGCGCGTGAGGGGTGTACTGGGGTGTGTGGCGGGGAAGCATGTGAGCGCCGCCACTGGGGCCTTCGGTGCAGCTCCCTATTGGGCCACGAAAAGTGTGAGGGGTGTGCCGAATTGGGTGCGGGTGGTGACGCATGCGGGCGGTGCCACTGGGGCCTTCGGTGGAGCTCCCTATGGGGCCACGAAACCTGCTGTTGTGAGGGGCGTGCCGGGATGGGTGGCGGGGACGCATGTGAGCGCGGCCGCTGGGGCCTTCGGTGGGGCTCCCTATGGGGCCACGAAACGTGTGAGGGGTGTGCCAAATTAGGTGGGTGTGGGTGACGCATGTGGGCGCCGCCACTGGGGCCTCCAGTGGACGATGGGGCCACGAAACCTGTGAGGGATGTGCCGAAATGGGTGTGCGGGACGCATGCGCATGTGAGCGCCGCCGCTGGGGCCTTCGGTGGAGCTCCCTAAGGGGCCACGAAACGTGTGAGGGGTGTGCCGAATTTTGTGTGCGTGACGCATGCGATGCGGGCGGCAGCACTGGGGCCTTCGGTGGAGCTTCCTATGGGGCCACGAAACGTGTGAGGGGTGCGCCGAATTGGGTGTGCGGGGCGCATGCGGGCGGCAGCACTGTGGCCTTCGGTGGGCTCCCTATGGGGCCACGAAACGTGTGGCGGGGGTGTGCCCAAATTGGGGTGTGAGGGACGCATGCGGGCGGCAGCATTGGGGCCGTCGGTGGAGCTCCTATATGGGGCCACGAACCGTGTGAGGGGTGTGCCGAATTTTGTGTGCGTGACGCCATGCGGGCGGCAGCACTGGGGCTTCGGTGGGGGCTCCCTATGGGGCCACGAAGCGTGTGAGGGGTGTGTGCCGAATTGGGTGTGCGTGACGCATGCGGGCGGCAGCACTGGGGCCTTCGGTGGGGTTCTCTATGGGGCCACGAAACGTGTGAGGGGTGTGCCGAAATTTGTGTGCGTGACGCATGCGGGCGGCAGCACTGGGGCCTTCGGTGGGGCTCCCTATGGGGCCACGAAACGTGTGCGGGGTGTGTGCCGAATTGGGTGTGCGTGACGCATGCGGGCGGCAGCACTGGGGCCTTCGGCGGAGCTCCCTGTGGGGCCACGAAACGTGTGAGGGGTGTGCCGAATTGGGTGTGCGTGACGCATGCGGGCGGCAGCACTGCGGCCTTCGGTGGGGCTCCCTATGGGGCCACGAAACGTGTGAGGGGTGTGCCGAATTGGGTGTGCGTGACGCATGCGGGCGGCAGCAATGGGGCCTTCGGTGGAGCTCCTTATGGGGCCACGAAACGTGTGAGGGGTGTGCCGAATTTTGTGTGCGTGACGCATGCGGGCGGCAGCACTGGGGCCTTCGGTGGGGCTCCCTATGGGGCCACGAAACGTGTGAGGGGTGTGCCCAATTGGGTGTGCGTGACGCATGCGGGCGGCAGCACTGGGGCCTTCGGCGGAGCTCCCTATGGGGCTACGAAGCTTTGTACTGGGTGGGTGAAACGCAGGGAAGAGGGGGAGGAGGGAGGAGGAGGGGGAGGAGGAGGAGAGGAGAGGAGAGGAGGAGAGGAGAGGAGAGGAGAGGAGAGGAGAGGAGAGGAGAGGAGAGGAGAGGAGAGGAGGACGCGGGGACCGTCTTTTCAAAACGAGGACCCAACACCACAGGATGGTTGGGAACAAACACACGGTGTGGGCAAAACACACTCACAGTGGGTAAAACAAACACAGTCTGTGTGTTGTTTACCCACAGTGTGTGTTTTGCGTGTGTGTGTGTGTGTGCGTATGGTTGCGTATGTGTGTGTGTGTGTTTGTGTGTGTGTGTGTTTGCGTTTGTGTGTGTGTTTGCGTGTGTGTGTGTGTGTGTGTGTGTGTGTGTGTTTGCGTGTGTGTGTGTGTGTGTTTGCGTGTGTGTTTGCGTGTGTGTGTGTGTGTGTTTGCGTGTGTGTTTGCGTGTGTGTGGTGCGTGTGTGTGTGTGTGGTGTGTGTTTGCGTGTGTTTGTGTGTGTGTGTGTGTTGTGCGTGTGTGTTTGCGTGTTGTGTGTGTGTGTGTGTTTGCGTGTGTGTGTGTGTGTGTTGTGTGTGTGTGGTTTGCGTGTGTGTTGTGCGTGTGTGTGTGTGTGTGTGTTTGCGTGTGTGTTTGCGTGTGTGTGTGTGTGTTTGCGTGTGTGTGTTGCGCGTGTGTGTGTGTGTGTTTGCGTGTGTGTTTGTGTCGTGTTGTGTGTGTGTGTGTGTTGCGTGTGTGTGTGTGTGTGTGTTTGCGTGTGTGTGTGTGTGTTTGCGTGTGTGTTGTGTGTGTGTGTTTGCGTGTGTTGTTTGCGTGTGTGTGTGTTTGCGTGTGTGTGTGTGGTGTGTGCGTGTGTGTGTGTGTGTGTTTTGCGTGTGTGTGTGTGTGTGTTTGCGTGTGTGTGTGTGTGTGTTTGCGTGTGTGTGTGTGTGTTTTTCGTGTGTGTGTGTTTTGCGTGTGTGTGTGTGTGTGTGTGTGTTTGCGTGTGTGTGTGTTTGCGTGTGTGTGTGTGTGTGTGTTTGCGTGTGTGTGTGTGTGTTTGCGTGTGTGTGTGGTTGCGTGTGTGTGTGGTGTGCGTGTGTGTGTGTGTTTGCGTGTGTGTGTGTGTGTGTGTGTGTGTGCGTGTGGTGTGTTGTGTGTGCGTGTGTGTGTGTGTTTTTGGCGTGTGTGTGTGTTTGCGTGTGTGTGTGCGTGTGTGTGTGTGTGTTTGCGTGTGTGTGTGTGTGTGTGTGTGCGTGTGTGTGTGTGTGTTTTTACGCACAGGTCCCCGGGAAGAGGGCGAGACCTCTGCAGGAGCCTCGCTGCGACAGCGCAGCGCGCGGGCGCGAGGGGCCAGGCGGCCTGCCAACAGAGCGGGGGGGCTTCTCCCCGGCTTCTGCACGCCGCAGCGCCGCAGAGGCGATCCGCACGCGCGTCAGGGCGCTGTGAACAACATCACGACGGGAGGTTTAACAAAACAAAAAACAAAAAATGATCCTCCTCCTCCTCCTCCTCCTCCTCCTCCTCCTCCTCCTCCTCCTCCTCCTCCTCCTCCTCCTCCTCTCCTGCTCAAAAAATCACGACGGGAGGTTTTTTCTAATTTTCGGCCTCCAGGGTCCCTCGCCGGGCCTCGGGACCGTCCAAAAACGACTCAGGACGAAAAACCGGTCCCGGGGAAGGGGTCCAGACCTCTGGGGGTCGCGTCGTGCAGAGATCACGACGTCGGGGGCCTGGGCTCCCCGACATCCGCCGCCTGACAGTTGCAGCATCGCGAAGACGCACGACCGCTGGCCCTCTGGGCTCCCGCTTTCTGCTGCCCCTGTGCGAGCCAGGTCGGTCTGTGACGGTCCCGGGGCCCGCGGCCGGGCGACCACGCCCGCTTGAGACTTTCGTGTCGAAGGGGCCCCAGTAGGGGGGGTCCTATAGGAAGGATCCCAGGGGGGGTCCTATGGGAAGGATTCCTATATGAGCCAGCGGCGGCTTCCGAGAGGCCCCCCTGCCTCCTTATAGAGGCTCCACCGCCCTCTGGAAGAGTCGCCCCCCCCCCCTGGGCCACCGCCTCCATGACGCGCGCCACCGGGCGTGCGCTTGGCGGGGGCGCTCGGCGTCGGGTGTCGCCAGAAGTGCCCCTGGCCCAAGGTGCCCTCAGGATTTCCAGGGATGCCCCACGGCCTCCAGAGCACCCCCCACGAGGCCCAGAGGGCCCCAGGGGCTCCAAAATGGAGCGAAAAGCTGGGGGCACCTTGAGCCAGGGGCGCCTTCAGCAACCCCCAGCTGCGGGGGGCGGCGGCCCTCCCCGGCGCTTCTCGCCCTGCTCGGGCCTCCTGCAGGGGGCTCCTCGTCGCCACGGCCGGCTCCGCGCTGGACAAAAGCATCGGCCAGGCGCAGAGGAGGGGGGCGGGGGGAGGGGGCCAGGGCTTCTTTAGCAGCACCCCTGCTTCTCTTCGGACGGCGCGGGGGCCCTCTCTGTAGATGCAGGGCTGGCGCCCTCCAAGAAGCAGGCTCCTGCTGAGAATCAAGGGCATGAAAAACGCCCCTACCTTGGTTTACGAGGCGCTGTGCGCTGAGACTCCTGTGGGCTGACAGGGTACACCTTGCGTGATGTGCCGCGTCCTGGCGGCTCTAGGCTTTTGGGGTTCCCAGGAGGTTTACAGACCACGCACTTGTAACCCAGGGTAGGGTCGTTTTTTCATCCCTCAAGAGAAGCCTTCCCCCCTCCCCCACTATACCCCCTTTGTGCGCGCCGCCAAGGAGCAGGCCAGGACGGCCCGCGGGAGGGGTCCCGGGCGTGCTCTCCATCGGAGCCGGGTCGGGCGGGGGAGCCGCCGTTGCCTCCACCGTCAAGCAGTGGCGAAGCGTCCTGGCTCGCCTATAGCCCTACCAAACAATGTTCTAAGAACCTTTTTACGGGGCGTGAAAACGACCACAGCCACTGCTTTTCTTTTGCTGCCGCCTTCCAGCCAGCAGAAACAAAGCAGTGGTTGTGGTCATTTTCGTTAAGCTTGGCACCAGGGATATGACCACAACCACTGCTTCTTTCTCGGCCGGCTGGAAGGCGGCGCAAACAAGGAGCAGTGGCTGTGGTCATTTTCCCGTCCCGCACTTTTGTGGTTTCCACAACATGTTCTTAGAACATTTCTGGCGGAGTCTGTCTTGTTTAAACACATCAGGTTTATGTTCCAAGAACATGGCTTTTTTCTTGGAACATGTTCGGGTTCTAAGAACACTTCGTGGTAGGACTCATGTATGTCGTGAGGAATGCCGTGGCGGTCGGCCCCTGCTCAACACCAGGGCCCTGCTCCAGGAAGCATGGGGCTCGGGGGCGGCAAAGAGGGGGGTGATGACTAGGGGGGGTGGATACCATGGCGGGGGCCACGATATTTCCCCTGGTTTCATGGCGCCCCTTCTTATTTAATCGCTTCGCTCATTCCGCCGGCCCTGGAGCCCTCTTTAGGGCCTCTTGGGGGCCTCTTGGGGACCTCTTGGGGGTCTCTTGGGGCTCCTCGGCGGCGTCTTGGGGGCCTTGGGGCGGGAGGTGGGGGTAGTCGAGTGCGGCTCCTCCCTCGGAGGCCACGATCCTCGTGAGGAGCCCTCCCCTGGAGTGCTCTGGTGGCTTCTCCCGGGACCTTGCCGGGGTACTGTTCGTCTGGGGGCCCCCAGGGGCCGCTCCGCGCGCGCGCGAACTGGAAATCTTGTGAACCAGTTACCGGAGATCTTAGCACGCAGCTCTGGCCCGTTGGGCCGGCGAGTTTCACTGCGTCCCTGGCCCCCCCACCTGGGCCGCGCACATGCCGCCGGCCATGAGTTGCACCCACCCCTCTTGGACGCCCCCCTCTTGGCCGCCCCCGAAGAGCTCGGGTCTGGCCCTGACGCTGGGCCAGCGCGCGGCAGCTGCCCCTCGCCCGCGGGGCCTCCCCGCAGGGGCGCCCTGGCACCCGCGGGTGCGGCGGCGGAGGGAGGGCAGGGCCTCCCCTGCTCTGCTCCTCCGTCCCCTGCCCTCCTCCCCCCCTCCCCCCCTCCCCCCTCCTCCCCCTCCTCCTCCTCCTCCTCCTCCTCCCCCTCCTCCCCCTCCTCCTCCTCCTCCTCCTCCTCCCCCTCCTCCCCCTCCTCCTCCTCTCCTCCTCCTCCTCCTCCTGCTCCTCCTCCTCCTCCTCCTCCTCCTCCTCCTCCTCCTCCTCCTCCTCCTCCTCCTCCTCCTCCTCCTCCTCCCCCTCCCCTTGCACAGGTCAGGAGGAGAAAAAACACACAGAAACAACTAATCGTCGATGCCCCCGAAAATGCAAGAAAGAATTGGGCAATGGGGGGGAAGACAGAAGCCCAGAAAACATGGGAAACTGTGAGGAATGCTTCCATTTTTGTGTACTTATTTGTGTGTCCCGGGGCCCCTGCAGCATGGCCCCCACGTCACCGGCTGGCCACCAGACGCGTCGGCAGGGCGAGGCAGCAGCTTCGCCTCGACGCGTCCTCCCCCCGCGGGCCCCGGAGCTCGCAGCCTCCAGGGGCCACGCAGGTACGGATCGGGTATAGCCAGGACCCCAGGTAAGGGGACCCGGTCAGTGGTAGGGCCCTGGAGCCCCTAAATTAGCTAGGAGGTGGACCGAATCCCCAACAGTGACACGTCGATTAGTGGATTGTCCGCTTTCGGTTCTCGAGAGGGCGCCGTGGCCGTTATTTTCCAGGCTTGCGCCCGCCAGGTTTTGGCCTCAGGTCGTTTTCACTAAACCACGTTTTACTAAAGGGGGGTCTGTCCAACCCCAATTGGCCAGAATCACTAAACCAGGTCTGCCGCAGCTGGTGTTTTTCAGGTCCCACTAAACCCAGTTCTGCCAACGCCCGAACGGAGCGGGATCATGCTTCAGG